AGTTAAAAAAGAAAAAGACCATTATGGTTCTTTAAAGAAGGGGAAAGTACAGACGTTTTGTGGAATATGGAAAGTTTGAAAGGAGTTAACATATAATAAAGGGACACAAGAAAACACAGTTGTGTTATATAGAGAAGAGACAACCAGGATAGACTATAGTTTTAATAGGATTCTTTCTCTCTGTAAATTAGTTTTCATCCTTTATGGTAATTCACAGGTGATGCCTATGATGCCACTTTGTCTCCTAATAGCTTGCTCTTGATATCCTTTTATTTAACAGAAATTGGAATGCATTACTAAAGTGTTGTCTGGTATAATCCAGCTGTTTTTTGCTGTCACAGGGGAAAACATATGGCTGGAAAGAATGTATATCTCAGTTTGTTAAGGAAAAATTTTGTTTATGATTTTTCCAGTCAAAGTTTCATGTGGCATTTGGATAACACTGTGTGGAACAGATTTGGCCTCCCAACTCCCATGTTTCCTCAGTGTACAGAGAGATGTGCCAAAGCTCTTTACCTGAATCTGGATTGCTGAGTCTAAACTTAGACCAGACATAACATTTTTACGATTGTTCTGGATTTTGATTGGGATACAGATAATTTTCTTCATAGTTAATTGTATGGGACTGTGCTTTGGACTTGAGCTGGAAACAGAGTTGGTAATTCAGGGATGTTTTCTTTATTGCTGAGCAGAGCTTGCACAATGTCAAGGTCTTTTCTGCTTCTCACCTCACCCCATCAGCAAGTAGGTTGGGGGCGCAGAAGAAGCTGGGAGGGGACAGAGCAGGGACAGCTGACCCCAACTGATCCAAGGATATCCCAGACAGTATGACATCGTGGACAGCATAAAAAACTGGGAGGAGAAGAAGGGGAGGGGGGAGATGGATTCGGAGTGATGACACTTGTCTTCCCACATCACTGTCATGCATGAGGGAGCCCTACTTTCCTGGGGATGGCTGAACACCTGCCTGCCTAAAGTGCTGAATAAATTCCTTGTTCTTCTTTGCTTGCAAGTGTAGTTTTCTCTTTACCTATTGGACTGTTTTTATCTCAACCCATAAGTTGTTTTTTCACTTTTATTCTGATTTTCTCTCCCATCTGACCAGCAGGGAGGGAGTGAGTGGCTGTATGGGACTGAGTTGTCGGATGGGGTTAGGCCACAACATTGATTTATAATGGCTATGGAAAGGGGTTTTTGTTGTACTAAATGTATTTTGTTAGGACCTTGAAGCTGGCATGTTGTGAAGTAGGGGTCAGAACACTTCTGCACTCCCATACTGAGTGAAAAACAAAGAGGCAGATTTTAATGTTTTAAATCCTATTTGTAGTCAGGAGTGGGAGAAATCAGGTTCATTTTGCAACAGAGAAAAACATGTATATACCAGTGACGGAGGTCTGGGGCACACAGAGTCAGAGTGGGAAAGACTCTGTGCTCTTTTTATCTTCTTATAGTAAACAGCTGGGAAGTGTGGAGGAGTAAGGGCCCCTCATGGTAAAGATGTTTCTTTCTTAGAGCAATAAACAATAAAAATCCTGTAAGAAAATAAGTAATTGTTTTAACTGAAAGAGACACAAATCTCGGATTCAGTGAGACACACAAGCAAAGCTTGAACAGGTTCATTTATGGAATAATTACATTGAATTATAGTGTGTATAATATTTTCATTTAACTTTTCTGGTTTTATTTTCCCTTTGATTTTTTTTTTTTTAGTCATGCACATTTACTGAGTGGGAGGACGGGGTGAAAAAGAAAACTGAAACTTTTTTTCTTGCTGTTTTCTGCCGGTTTAGAATAGACATAGCCTTAAAGTCTTACTCTCCTTATGCTCTGTAATTGTATTTGATTTACCCATGTCAATTCCCCAGAGTTAAATACACTCTAAAAAGAACACTTTGGTCTTAGGATTCCTGACCTCTGATCTCATCCAGACTGTCCCATACGTGGGATAAGTCCACAAAGGGGAAAAAAACTTCCCACTGACAAGTGATGGTAACTTTCCCCTCCTCTTTAGCCAGGAGCAGGGTCTTTCAGGTACAATTGCACAGGGAGAAGTTTCATCTCAATATAAGAAAGAATTTTTTTCAGAACAAATCAGAGAACAATCAGTCTCTGGAACAACCTCCCCAGGTATATGGTATACCTCTCATCAAAGAAGGTTTTCAAGACATGACTGAACAGAATGATAGATGACCTTATGCAGGATTCCTTTACAATGAAAGGCTGGACAAGATGATCTTTGAAGGTCCCTTCCAACCCGGAATTTTCTGTGATTCTCTGAGTCTCTTTCTATTTATGACCCATTTAGTCAGTAAGGAAGACATTTATATTACAATACTGTCGTCCATCTCACTGACAATATTAATGAATTAAATAAAATCTTATTAGAAATGTTTGTTTCTACAATAAATGTGATTTTTTTTATGACCGAACATAAAATAGAGGTTAGAATAAACACTAGACTCATGTCTTCAAAAAAACAAAATATTTTTACATTTTAGAAAGAAAAAGAGATGTGTGAAAGAAACTGCTTAATTCATTAAACAGCTGTAAACCACATATTCCAAGAAAGGAATTATATTCCCTAGTTTAGAATATTGACTAACCTTAGAATTATACAAGACCATTCCTTACACAAATAAATGCACACATTCATTTAAATTGTTACACAGCACTGGAAATCTAAAGAATTCTAGCGTTAGAAAATAAGGGGATTTTTAGTTACCAATTCTTCTTAGCACAGGTGTAGATGAGCAACCGTAAAGAGCAACCATAAAGAGCAACCACGTCAATACTGTGAGTCTGCCATTTTGAGATGGTGCAGTCCAGGATCCTGTGAGGAACAAGATCACAGTCTTGAACTTCAGTAGAGTAGACTTTGGCCTCTTCAGGGATCTGCCTGGAATAATCCCACGAGACACATCCTGCAGAGAAGAGGGGTCCAGAAAACGTGTTTGATATTCAAGGGTCACTCCTGACAAGACCAAGAAAGACCCAACCTGACGAGCAAGGAATTAAGCTGAGATGGCAGGAGGTCTGGATAGATGTGACCTTCAGAAGTCCCAGGTCCCTGAGATTGCATGGGAAGTCTGGAGCAAGGAAGACTTATTCTCAGAGGAAGAGGACAAGGTTAGGAAGCACTTAAGGAAACTGGCCACACGCAAGTCCATGGCCCTGATGATGCTCACCTACAAGTGCTGAGAGAGCTGGCAAATGTCATTGAGAGGCTGTTTCTGATTATGTTTGAAATGTTGCGGAAATCAGGAGAGGCCAATCAGGACTTGAAAAGAGATAATACACGTCCTTGACCTAAGATGGGCAAGAAGGAAGACCCACGGAACTACAGGTTTGTCATCTTCACCTCAGTTCTGGGAAGGTGATGGAGCAACTATGCCTGGAAACCATTTCCAGGCATGAGGATCGAGGTGATCAGGAAAAGTTAGAATGAAATTACAAAGGAGTGATGCCTAAAATCATGCTTAACCAACCTGGTCACCTCAACAATGAGGTGACTGGCGTGGTGGACAAGGGGAGAGCAGTGAAAGTAGTTTCTCTTGATTTTTTTTTTCTTTTTTGCTGTCTCCTATGACATCCTCACAGACAAGATGCTCAAGTGTGGTCTATATACTATTGTGTGGATAGTGAGGTGGACCAAAACCTCATTGAACTAACAGGCTCAAAATGTCATGATCTCCAGCCAGAGATCAGTCACAAGTGGTGTACCCTAGTATTGATACGAGAGCCAGTATTGTTAAATTGTTAACTGTTCCCTAAGGAGATGGGGGATGAGACCAAGCATACCCTCAGAAAGTTTGCAGACAATATAAAATTTGGAAGAGCTGCTCATATACTAAATATGTGCTGCTATTCAAGGAGAACTTGAATTGCTGGAGCAACGGACTGACAGAAATCTGAAATTCAACAAAGGAAAATACTAAATCCTGCCCATGGAAAAAGTAATCCCACGTACCAGTACACACTGCGGACCAACTATGTGGAAAACAGCTTTGCAGATGAGGACCTGAGGCCTCTGGCATACAGCAAATCAAACATAAGGCATCAATGAGCCCTTATGGCAGAAAAGATCAGAAGCCTCCAGGGATGCTTTGGGCAAAGCATTGCCAATAGAAGCAGAGAAATTATTGTTCCCTGCTACTCAGCACTGGTGACACCCATGGGGAGTGCTTGTTCTGGTTCTGGCCTCCCTGCTACAAGAAAAAAACTCATTTACTGGAGAAAAAACAGTGAAAGGCTACAGAGATGATTAAGGGACTGGGCTATCTGTCATTCAGAGATGCTGGGAGAGCTGGGGTTGCTCAGCCTGGAGAAGAAAAGGCTCAGGGTGACCTTAGCAGTGTGTATGAATACTGTATTGGGGGAGTCAAGAAGAAAGAGCCAGGTTCTTCTCAGTGTTGCCTGGTGAGAGAAGAAGAGTCCATTGGCACTAATTGAAACCCAAGAAATCCCATATGAACATAAGGAAAAGTCTTTTTAATGTAAAGTTAGAGGGACTTTGGAACTGTTTGCCTCAGAAACGCTGTAAATTCGTCCTGGACAAGCCGCTCTCATAGACCATGACTGAGCTACACTAAATGATCTCCAGAGGTGCCTTCCCAACTTGATGGTTGTGTGATAACTGAGAACCACACAGTGAACAAGGTTTAGTGAGAGACTGACTGAAAACCTTCAGTTTACTTGCACTGTAACATTTACTGCATGTGAGGCGGTGATGGGCAATCCAACTTCTTAATGAATCATGCATTCATGGTAAGCGGGCAAATAAAGGCCAGTCTTCGCAAACGAAGAACCGGGGAAGGTCTTTACACCTTCCAGCCTGCGCATTGGATTTTTTAGGTGAGACACAGTGTGCGCGGAACTGAGCCCACCCTTTAATCCTGAGGTTCATCTGCTGGGGCCAAGCGAGCTTGGACGGTGGCAGCGAGGTCCTCAGGACGTAGATGGATTGCCTTACAGGGCTAACGAGCTCCATCTGCCCGGGGAGTGGCCCCAACCGGGAATCGAACCCGGACCTCGGCGTTGGCAGTGCCGCGTCCTTAACCACTAGACCACCAGGGGCTCCCAAGTGGGCAAATAAGAGCACCTGGTTTACACACTGCATGTGTCAGAGCTGAGCTTGCTGAACTTGCTCAGTGAAGTGCATATAAAACTCTTCTTATAAAAACAACTTAAAACAGCCTGAAGAAAAAAAAAAAAGGTCAATTTTATTTAGCTACCCACCTGTGAAATATGAAAGAACATCCTTAAATACTCTAGAGTGATTGTTTGGAAAATAGAAATGTTAAAGAGCCTAGTTCAGGACTGTGCTTAACACTGTGTTTAAACATAAGTATGTGTTCAAACCTTAATTCATTTTCACAGAGCTCAGTGGTACTTAAATACACGTGTAACTGTGCAATTAGATGCTTTGCTGAAAACATGCCCCTGACATTCCTGAGACATCATGTAGTCCAAGATGCTGAATAATGCTATGATTTGCAAATCTGTTTGTAAATGTAACTATCAGCAGGTATCTGCTATGCTTAATGCCACCAATTTAAAATGCTGATTGTAAAAACTATTTAATCTGTATTTGAGTGTATTTTAAAATTTACTTTTACCACTTTAATATTAGCAGTCAGTTTTCCCTAAGACTTAAAAAAACCCTGTAAAATCCCATTTTACATTTTAGGTGGACATTATTTTAGAAGAAAAAAAAAAAAGGTGGTATCATATTTCATTTTCCAGGATGCAGAAGTGGTGTTACTTCCTTGGGGTGTAAGATAATGTAGGAGGCAGTAAGACAATAACACTGACAATTTCACATGAAGAAAGGTCATTTTTTTTTTCCTAGCCTTTTTAAACATAGTGTGTTTAAGGAGAACGGGATTTGCCTCCTTTGAGTTTTTCAATAGAACTCAAAACTTAAAGTATTTTTCCAGCAACTGAAAAACTAACCAAGCAAATAAAAACAATCAAACAAAACCCAAAACAAGAAACATAAATTAAAAACAAACAAATAAAACAAAAACGAACCCCCCCAAAAAAAGAAAACAAAAAAAAACCCCTCCAATCCCTCAAAAAACACAAAAGCAAACTCAGAACTGCTCAGTGAAGCTTCATTTATTAAAAGTGAAAAAATATGAAAAGCTGGGATTTCGCTATATTTTTTTTGTTTCTTTATTCTGTTCTGTTGTGGGTTTAAATTCTATAGGCTTTAGATGGAATTACCAGTTGCTGACTATTTTATGTGCTTATTGAACCCCATCTTTTTAAATAATGAAGCTCCTTTTCAAAATGGCACTAAAATCGTATATAGTTTAACAAAGACAAGATGTTAGTATAGTTTTGATTCCAGCTGAATTTTCTTCCATAGACACATGTTGATTTGGGCAGGTGACCTGTGTGCAATTCACACCTTCACCACTGCTCTTTGTCCACCAGTGGTTTTCTTCTCTGCCCTTGAGCATAACAGTAGGACAGATCTGAGTTGTGTACTATTATCATGATTTTCCTTTAAATAAAAAGCTGGATTGTGTAGCACACATCCTCTTCTAATATCTCAGCACTACTGCATGTAATCCCCTGTTCTGTTCTCTCTCCAGAAGGAGAGCTAATTGCACGTTTGATAATTAGACTATAAATATCCATCCAGTCGATGAGAATTAAACACCCTCATGGATTTGAAGCTAAACTTTTTGTGTCTGACACATCTTTTTTTTTTTCTTTTTCCTTTGATTATCTTGCACAGTAAGCTGTAGTCAATGTCTGAGGTGTGGGGATATTTAGTTGTAGTAGAATGAGGATCTGAATAAGGAGGATGAGTTTGTGTTTATCTTAACTAATACAACATCAGGAATTTCATCACATCTGCAATGGAAGGCTGTGCCCTCTATAATCATGAATTTTCCCAGTGACATCAGTGGGAACAACATCAAGCCCTCAAAGACAAGCTCTTTAACTTTCTTAAAACATTTAAATTCAGAGGAGCTTAACATAATGGATAGATATTTTCAGGTGTATTTTAAGACTGGATTTCTCATTTGAAACTAATCCCACCTGTTACCACAAAAACTTCCTGAAGTGGCCCATCTTTAAAGCATGTTCGTGTATTTTTGAAGTATGCTAAGTACTGTTTGGAGTAATTCTTAGCCTAGGCTTGATGGAAAATAAAACTTTTGCAGGAACACAAAAACTCTGTGTATTCTGGGTAAACATAATTGTGCTCCCGCAGTTATGTTGGTGAACAGAAGAAAACTATTGAGCTACGTTTTACCATTAAAATTAGTCATTTAAATGGGTTGTTTCCATTGTGCACAGGTGGTAAACTTATCTCACATGTTTTTTATATAAAAGCCTGAAATAAGTGAACACTGGCAAACAGAATCTAATGGTGTCATTAAAATGATTGTAAACATGCCTGTTGTGGCAGATGTGTGCTTTCCTTCTGTGGATACACATTCGGATTGTTGGTCAGGATCAAACAAATGCAGACTTTTAGCATGTCAAAAAATGTCTGTATTCTAACAGGTTCTGTTTGGAAAAAAGTCTGTTTCCTTGAGGCCAGAATAGCTATAAAATAACCAGACTACCTGATCATATCCAGTGCCTACTGCTATTTTCTTTGATTAGAGCTGTATTCCCTGTATTCTTTGCCATCTATGGTTTCAGCTGAACAAGAGATTATGTGTTGCATCATTCTGGTTTGAGGAAACATTTCAACAGAGTAATAAATGTAGAGAAATATACAAAACTCAGGGCCAGGAAGTCATCAGCTTTTTCTTCTCTCTGAAAATGTTGCCCTTTGTTTAACTACAATTACCAGCTTTCCAGTGATTATTTACTCTACTACACAAGGTAACACAGGCATAGCTGTTGTTATTCTCTAGAGGATAGGATGAATTTAAACGCATTTCCTCAGAGCCAAATTCTCCAGCCTAAACCAAAAGTTGATGGACAGCTGGGAATTCAGCAGAACCATGTGCTTCCCTTCTGCTTGGAGCAGCTACTTGCAGAGAAAAGTGTAGCTCTGCGGTTGCTCAATCCACCTTCTTGCAAAGAGTCTTCTGGAGTCTGGAGTAAAGCTCATGGGGAAAGAAGCCAGAGGATTTACAACCATCTGTCTGTACCCTTCCCCTGGGAAAATGCCTGTGCAGAAATTACGTGTCCCAGAGGAGGAATTCCTTCTCAGCATTTTTTTTGGGCAACGTCTTCTACAAGAAAGGATTGGTTTTGCCATCCAGGCTTTAAACTTCTGTTTAACCAGAGTAATGCTCTGAATCCTTAAATGCTCACAGTCTCACTTTTCAGACTTTATAATTTCAAAATTATATAGCTCCCTTTAGTCAGCCAAGAAACATTGCTATATCCTAATCTACCTCTTATACATTGGCTAACAGCTCACATCTTTGCTCAAGTGCAAAAGAAAGTCTGATATTCATTTTGTGTGTCTGTATCTCTACAGGCAGTGATGGTGCTATGCCAACACATCAGCAGAGACAGCTGGTTTATACACAGCTATAGTCATATGTCTTAGAAGTTAAGCACTTCTGTGTTGAGAATGTACTGAATTTTAGATTTGGGGCCTGAATCTCTTGTCATCAGCCTCAGTGAAAGTCCAGCACAGCTTTAGAATTATGTAGGTGTAATGCTGATGCATAAGACAGCAATATCCATTCCATACAGAACAATGCATCTTTAGAAATGGTAAAGGACATACAATGTCCCTTTCTTTTTAAAGCACACAAAGCTCTTTACCAAAAAGTACATCAAAGTCTTGGACTTCTTGATTTCTTTCTGTGTTGCTGAACTGACTGAATATAGCTTGCCTGTGGTGTTATTAGATTACTGTAGCTGGACTTGAGACTTGATACCTAAGCAACCAGTATCAGCACAATATCTCTATCCAATTTTCTTAGCTAATGAAAGCACTCTCCATGTTCTTTTAACCAGATGGAGCACAGAAGGTTACACAAGGAAAGTTTTCTTAGCTCAACTTGAATGTTCCTGAATAAAATCCTTTATCTGAGTGCACCCGCAGTGTAGATGAAAAATAATGTCAGTGCAAGTGTTTTGTACATAAGTTGATCTGAATAGGAAAGTGGCTCTTTATAGCAATTCCCTCTTGCTTACTTTCAAAAAACAGGTTCTGCCTGATTTAAAAATAGCCAGGCACAAATTTAGAATGAAAACATTTACCGTGACTTGTGGCTTTTGTGTTTCTCTGTTTACAACCAAAATTTCCAAAGAAAAAATGCGGTACACTGCCATATTTAGTAAATTGATCTGGTGAAGAGAGAGTTAAGGAGCTGCCCATACACCTTGGTATCCAAATAGTCTCCTTGACTGATGATGCAAGGAACCAACCTTCACCATGGGTCAGTGCCCAGCACAGCCCTGCACGAAGAAACATTGCAGAGTTCCTTGTGTAGGTGGAGACATTTCTACTCTGCAGCATTCAGATACCTTAGATCTCTCCAGGAACAAGCTGAGGATTTATCATAATGGCAGTAAAAGTAGGTAATTTTTACTAATCTCAGCTTGGTTTTTAACCTTCTTTTTATGGAAAGTAATCTTTGATTTAAATGTTTGAAGCTCTATCTGTCATAATGCTAAGGCATTTAAAAGTAATTTTCTGCGTGTTAACTCTCTCTCAGTCTACTGAGTCTTATTTTCATTTTGTGCACAGTGCAGCATAACTTTTTTAAATAGTTCATGTCAGCCTGAGAACACAGGTAGAGGCACTCAGACTACCTGCTCTACACCCATTTAATTTAACAATGCCTCGTTTATTAGCTGAGTACTCTTGACTCTCAGTTGCTGGATAATTTCTTGATGACTGCTTTCTAAGCAGCGGTATAGCTTACCTGCACAGGGAGGGCTGTTGGCAGCAGCTGGGAGATCAGGCAGGTTGCATTCCAGATTTCTTGTTTGAGTCGGGTTATGTCCTTCACAAACACTGACCAGGTGCAAAGCAGTGTCCTGTCCCCACTGTGCCTGCTGCACTCGCTTTCAGAATTTCTTGTTTGAGCAAGACTGTGTCCACCAACACTGACCCAGCATAATGAATGGTGCCTTAT